GTACGTTCTTTCTCATCAACTTCGTTAAGGGTAGCACTATCATCGAAAATTCTTAACGAATCTTCGATAATAACCGGCAAGTCCAAGGAAACTCCGAACTTCAGATACATTCTTTGGAACTTCTCATTCTATTATAGCTTTTATCTTTTGAGGGTCCACCCGAATCCCATTAACAGAGATCACATGCCCTAAGAAAATTACTTCCCTTAGCAGAATTCACATTTGGACAGTTTGGCATAAAGCTTCTTATCTCTAAGAATTTGCAAAACTGTTTGTAAATGTGCGCTATGCTCTTCCATGGACTTCGAGTAAACCAGTATGTCATCAATAAAGACAACAACAAACTGGTCCAAATAGAGCTGAAAAATCCTGTTCATGAGATTCATGAAAGCAGCAGGTGCATTCGTTACTCCGAATGGCATTACGATGAATTCATAATGACCATATCTCATTCTGAAAGTCGTCTTTGGAATGTCCTTCTCCTGAATCTTTACTTGGTGAAAACCCGAACGTAGATCGATCTTCGAAAATACCGAAGCTCCTTTTAACTGATCAAACAAATCATCAATGCGCGGGAAGGGATACTTATTTTTTATTGTCACCTTATTAAGCTGTCGATAATCAATGCAGAGACGCATTGACCCATCTTTCTTCTTAACAAATAACACCGTAGCTCCCCAAGGAGACACACTTGGTCGAATAAATTCCTTCTCTAACAGCTCTTGCAATTGATTCTTTAACTCTTGTAATTCTTTCGGAGCCATCCGATAAGGTGTCATTGCAATTGGACCGGTTCCCGGCATTACTTCAATTTGAAATTCTACCTCTCTATCTGGAGGTAATCCTGGCAACTCAGCAGAGAAAACATCAGAGAATTCCCAAACTATTGGAATCTCATTTAATCCTTTCTCTTTAGTTCTGGCATCTATCACATTAACAAGAAAACCTTGTCATCATTGCAACAGTAGCTTCTTGGCAGACATCACTGATATTACATTTGCAAAAAGATTAAGCCTTTCACTGATCACACTTATTTCTGTTCCTCCTGGACTCTTCAGGGTACCTTTTTCAATCTACAATTAACATCTCCATAGTAACGGAATAACCAATCCATTCCCAAAATTACTTCAAACTCGTCAAAGGGTAATTCCATCAGATTAGCAGGGAATTCAATTCCCTGAATCTTTATGGGACACCCCTTACAGACTTTGTTCACCCGAGCACTATGGCCTAAAGGATTAGTTACTATAATCTCATTACTCGTAGCATCTAAGGGGATCCTCAATTCCTTTACTAACTTACTTATAATGTAAGAATAATTAGAACCCGGATCAATCAGTACCAATACTAATTTATCATACAGCTGAAAAGTACCTGCTATAATATCAGGTTCATCCCGATCTTCACTTGTCTTCAAACTGTATACCCGAGCGGTTGAGCAAACTTCATGTTGCGCAGAGGATTCAGACTGGTTCCTTCCTATGCCTCTTCCTCATCCTCTCTGCGAGGCAGAGCCAACTCTCTCAGATGTTGCAGGCTCACCAAATAAAGTATTAATACAAATAAAGTGTTGATGAATTTTAAGATTTTATATTCAATTTCAAAAAAAATATTCGATCCAATTAATCGAATATCACATATATTACTCAAAGTTTTCAAATGTCAATTTTACTCCTTACTTAAATGAAAAATTGTGTTTCAATCTTAAAAAAGTTTTGGAACAATTTTTACAAAGTATTTCGAACAATAATCAAGAAAAAATGAGTTTTAATTAGGGAGGTACCGATACCCCTCAAACTTTGAATGAAAAAAGGGTACGGATACCCCATAGGGTACCGATACCCCTATGTAAAGAGGTACCGATACATATCCCAAAGGTATCGATACCCATTATGTTGATTTTGGCTCCGAGAAAAACAGAATGCCAAATGGGTACCGATACCCCTAAGAGGTACTGATACCCTTGGTCTTATAACGGTCGAAATATTTGAATTTTATACATGATGTATCGATACCCTTTGAAGGTGTACCGATACCCCTACACTCCCAACAGCTTTTTGAAGTTGAAAAACATACAACAACGACTCTATTGACTTCACCAAGGCTCCCAACGGATAGAACTCATCCAAGGTGTATTTAAACAAGTTCTTGAAGTCATTGATGATGAAGAATTATCAAGAAAAGCTAGAGAAACAAGAGAGAAAACATCAAAAATCAAGTTTGAGCATTTCAAGCCAAATTCCTTTCAATATTCATTTTTCTTTCAAGAACACACTTTGTGCTTAATTGTATTTTTCTTTGAGTGTTATTTCCTTGTTCTAGAATTGTGCAAACAATCTACCTTGTGAGGTTTTTCTGTAAAGTTTGCAAAATTTGTACATTTCTCTTTGGGAGAGAGTGTTCTCAAGAATTTGTGGTATAATTCTTGAGGGAGTTGTAAGGTTACTCTTTGTCCTCAAAAGAAAGACAAATTAGTGAATTTATGTAAAATCCTTAGTGTGGATAGCTAAAGTAGTGGACCTAGAATTTGATTGAGAAAGTCGAACCACTCTAAATTGCTGTGCAAATCCTTTCAATTTTCTGTCAAAGCTTCCACCAAAATTTTTAATTGCCAATTCACCCCCTCTTGGCCGATTCATCCATTCGATTAACTCAACAACTCCCGTCAACTATTAACGACAGGTGGCTTGATTGACAACAATCAAATAGTTAAGTGGTATGGTTGATAAAATTGAAAGATCGATGGTAAAAATAACATGACTAAATAGTTAAGTGGTCAATTATATAGTTTACCCTATTTTTTAATAGTTATATGTATAATTATTTTTAATTAAATTTTATATTTTATAGTATGCGAAAAAGCATAAGAAACCCTTGAACTTTTGAAAAAAATTAATGTGGCCCTCCAACTCAAAAAAAAAACCCCAATGTGACCATTTGACCAACATTTCTCGTCATTTATCATTACAGTGCATATATGGTGGTTCATGATGTTGATATGATGACTCAGAGTGTTGAAGTGGGGGCCCAATATGGCTGATGACATGGCGAAGGACATGATAGATGGGCCAAATTGATTTTTTGTTTTTTTTCTAGAAAAAATTATTATTTTTTAAGTTCAATTGCTTATTTAATTTTTTAAAAAATAAAAATGTTTACATTTTAAAATATAAAAAATACAAAAAAAATAAAAAAACTAAAAATAAAAATTAAATTATTAAAAAATAAATAAATATTTTAAAATACTAAAACTAATATTAAAAAATTAAAAAAAACTAAATTTATATCATAAACTATAAAATGATAACTTATAAATTATTAAATTTTTAAAGAGATATATTATACATAATATATACATGAAACATATATGATCAACACTTATATAAAATATTTTTATTGGTTTAGTCGAGATTTACAAATTATGTATTTAAATATGATTAAAAAATATTTTTTGTATCAATACACATATTTAATCATACTTCAAAAAAAATCTAAGGACTATTCATAAACCCTTGCACATCGTCTAATAAGTTAGTATATAAAGTGTCGCTTAAAAATTATCTGAAATATGATTAGATTTGTGTATTGATGCGAGTAACTTACAATGTTTCCTAGTTATAATTAAATACAAAAATAATAAGTCTCGACTAGTCACGCAAAATTCTTTGTATAAGTGTTGATATATGAAAATATGTTAGATGTATGTATTATGCATAATATATATTTTTAAAAATACTTTGATTTTTAAATAATTTTTTTTATCATTTTATAACTTATGATATTTTTTAAAAATTTTAAATAATATTTTTTAGTATTTTTAAAATATATTTTTAATTTTTAGTAATTTAATATTAATTTTTAGTATTTTTATTTTTAATTTTTTTAATATTTAAATATTTCATATTTTAAATTTTAAAAATATTTTAAAAAAATAAGTAGCCTCTTAACTCTTTTTAAAAAATCAATTTTTTCATCAAACAAGACCAAAAATCTAATTTAACTCATTTATCATATTATACACCACATCATTAGTCATAGTGGAACATCATATCAACACTATAAACCACCACGTTAGCACTGTGAACCACCACATTTGCATTGTAACACTCAACGACTGAAAACGTTAGTCATAAGGTCACATAGGGTATGTTTTCTGAGTTGGGGTCACATGGGTTAAAAAAAATTCGAGGACCACATTAATTTTTCCAAAAAATACAAGGGCTTCTTATGCTTTTTTCCCTTTATAGTATGAACCACTAGATCTGAATATAATGATAAAATATATTACTCAAATAATAAAATTATAAATAATACTAATAATAGAAAAACATACATGTTCATGATTAATTGAAAACATCTAAGTTTGATATAACTCGTGTTAAAGAGTGTAACCAAGTAGGAATCACGATGAATGATGAAGAACAAATAATTTTGGAGAAGAATAAAGATTAAATTGATAAAATTTTAAATATAAATGATTAAATTATTTTAAATTAGTTTTATATTGATAGAATATATAATAGGACTAAATTCATATCAAGTCACTTAACTATTATGTTTAATATTTAACAGTCCACTGGCATATTTGTAACACTATTAAATTAAATGATTAAATCATAATGTTAAAAAAAATGATTCATTTGTAATTTGATTAATAGTTGAGTGACTTAAAATATAGCTTACGGAAGCAATTTAAAACATTTAACAAATATTCACATGGCCCCTTTTTAAAAAAGGATAAAAAAAATACTATGTAACATACTCTCAATAGAAACGATATATTAGAAATATTCCTGATTCATGCATAGCTGCATATATACAAATTCCAGGAAATTGAAGTAATTTGCTTTAGGACAACACTTTTGGGTACCCAAAATTAGGTCTTAATAAACATGAAACAAAAAGCAATAACAGTAGGGGTCTTATTGTCATTCCACTTCATCCTCCAAGACAATGATTCGATCTTTGAAAAAGTTGAAGCGAACTAACATTCTTCAAAGTTTCAAACTTTATTTGGAACAAAGAATTTCCTAAACCAATCCGAAAATAGAAATGCCAAACATTTTCTATATAAAATCTGAACATAAACCCGACAATCCAGTAAGCTGCCCTAACTTTCCTCTTCTGTTCCAGGAAGCAGAGTCATTCAAAAAACACGATCGTAGCTTGCAGGATTTCAATAATGGAAGAGTAAAGTTTTTTTTTCTTAATTAAAAGTTTTGGATTGATTGTTTTAACGTCTCCCACATTGAAAAATTCCGTTTGTTTATCAGATCTGAGCAATACCCAAAGGACTATCACACCGGCAACCTCAGGAGACTGCCTTCATCTTCTTCATCGACGACAAGCGTTCACGTCATCGCCTTGGATGGTCTCGTCAACGTGAATTCTCTCTTCACCATCGCCGTCTTCGTGGGCCTTTCTTTGACCACTCCGGACCAGCACAGTCTCGAGAATCGAGCTCCCTGCGACGCCGGCATTGGCGTGGCGAAAAAGCTCTTGGTATTCGAGGTCGTCTCCTTCAGCTTCTTCCTTTTCTCCTCCCTGGTGGCGCAGGGCTTGAAGCTCGCCATCAATTTGTTGAACAGCAAAGACGTGGATGAAGCTTTCAGGGCCCACATTAACCTCAAGGTTCTGAGGTTCGGGATGATGGGGTCCGCCGTGGGATCCGTCATGGGGTGCTTGTTTTTGATGCTGTCGATGGTGAACGTGATCGAGATACGGCTGGGGATGTTGTCTTGCGGCAGTAAGTCCGCCATCCATGCGGTGGGGGCTTTGGTCATCCTGGTTTCTTCCGCTCTCTTGGTTTACATTTCCACTGCGGTTTATGCTTTCTTGCATTGAATTCTAACCAACTTCAGCTTTGGTAAACAAATATTGTAAATCAAAATCGTGGGTTGCTTATGTTTTGTCGGCCTAAATTGAGATTTCTAAGTACCCAATATACATTTAATTTCAATGATGATAGTTTGTTGTTGCTTCCTAATGATTTGACCAACTTTACCATTACAATCTGGTATTTCTATACTATATAAGATGGCTGTAGAAGCTTACTTGAAATTCCCAGGGACTTGTTTATATTCAAAACCCGTAATTATTTTATAAACTCTTGGGTATTAGAATGAAAGTCTTGTTTGAGGTTGATTAATTGATGAACTCTTAGCTTTGCAGTTGCTGCCTTGTGAATTGTAGTCTATATCACTGTGGTAAGGATTGTGAATAAGGTTGAGCAAAACACGACGCAAAACAAAATATTTTGTAGGGTGAAATCAGTGAAGGGTGATTTTGGCCTTGTGGGTTTAAGAAAAATAGAAAATGATATATCTTGTAAGGAATGCTTTCCTTGCCTTATCAACTACTCCACTTGCAACTTGCAAATTGTAATGTCTTCCTTACTGTATATATGTGTGTGTAAATGTTGACATATCCAAGTGACCCAAATTTTGGATGATATGTGACTGAAAAAGTGAGAAAAAGTTTTTACAACGATTTTCATGTTGGAGATTTATTAAAATAAAAAAAGCCACTTGTTATTTCAATCAAAATTTAAAATTCCATTGAAATCCTATGTCTGACGTGGTCAAAAGATGTTGATCACTCAAACTCATTGCATGAGTTCAAACCAAAACATTTCGTCCATTTGTGATAATTTGCTATACGTAATGTAAGGTTGAGATCTTTGTAGCTTTTGTTTGAAATTGCTCTTTGCAAATTCAGATGCATGTTGTAAAAGTTGGATTGGAAATTAAATGATATATCACGTATGCAAATTCAAAATGATAAATTTAAGTTTTTAATTTAAGTAATGTTTTTTATAAACGTGGCATATGTTAATTAACATATTTTGAACGGTCGTTATCACGCAGGCACTTAAATGATAACGTTGGTAAAGTTTTTAATTTAAATAAATTTTTTTTTTACAAACGTGGCATATGTTAGCATATGTTAATTAACATATGCCACGTTTATAAAAAAAATAAAATTTATTTAAATTAAAAGCTTAAATTTATTTTTTTTAATTAAAAGCTTTTGTTTGTAAATTAACATATCACGTATGCAAATTCAAATGATATATCACGTACGCACTTAAATACTATATTTTGAACGGTCGTTATCACGTAGGCACTTAAATGATAAACGTGGCATATGTTAATTAACATATATTTAAATTGCCTACGTGATAACGACCGTTCAAAATATGTTAATTAACATATGCCACGTTTGTAAAAAAAATAAAATTTATTTAAATTAAAAACTTAATTTTTTTAACTTATACTTTTAAATCTCAAAACTTTAAAAAATTTAATTCCAATCCCCTCTACTCACACCAACTGTTATTGTAACGGGTTATCTAGGTCACCACTACTATAGTCGTCGATCACCCACACACCTATCATCGATCACCCTTGACTGATCGTCATCCCAATTCCTTAACTTTTTTAAAATCTTCCGTATTAAGTAAAAATACAAGAAAACTTGTTTACACTTGATGCCTGTTTTACACTTTATATAAGTTGAACGTTTAAAATTCCCTAAAGAAATAACTTCTGAATCACCTTGGTTTTCACATGTTAATATCTTAATCTCCATGACCATGTGCTATATATTGAGTAGTGATAGTTTCTTCTCCTCTCACCATTGATCTATTTATTCTACACAACTGTAAAACTTCAATCCACATTTTCTCTGGATAACAACAATCAGAGGAAACGCAATCTCTCATCTAATAAATCATACCACATAATGCATTTATCATCAACATTCAAATCTTTGCTAAATATGTTGTTTTTTCTTGGTGGTTCCTTGACGTCGGTAACCCTGCATTTTCACTGAATATTAGAGATTTTAGAGAATTTAAGGAATTGAGGTGATGGTCGGTCAGGATGACAGATGGTGAGTTTGTAAGTGATTGGTAACTGTGGCGATGACTTAGATACTGACAACAGTTCTATATATCTTCTAAAAAACGTAAGTGACAAAACAAGTTTTTACTCTCTGTGTCAAGAAAGAGTATCGTTCCGAAAATTAATAAAAAAGATGTTAATTTAAAAATAATTTTAATTATGATATTTAAGTATCAATATCTTGAGGGTAAATTACAAATTTACTTACTGAACTATACTCTCTCTCTCTCTCTCCTATGTTACTCATTGTATTTTTTATTTTTTTATTTTACTCAATGAACTTTATACATTGAGTTTTTTGTCACTTTACCATTAAATAATTAATTGTGTTACGACGTGAAAACTTATACCGAAATGACATAATTTTGAACCTCTAAAAACTTAATCAAAAGGATGTCATTTTAGTTTAAATAAAAAATTTTTATTTCTTTTCTTTATTTTATCTCTTTTCTTTGTTGCTTCTTTGTTTCTCCTCCTTCCATTTCTCTTCATTTTCTCTCTTGTAAAAGTTGAGGAGAAACATGTAATGGATTAGACTGATGCCAGATCTGACGAAGAAGAAGGAAACGACATGCAAGAAAATCATATAGAGGTGAAAATTCAACATAAAAAATCGAAGCATTGTTAACATTGAGTAACTCATCATATTGATACATATTATCAAGTCAGATCGCTCTTTCTTCCCGCCCATTATTTTTTTAACCTCAACAAACCATCAAAATCTGACCAATTTTCTACGTTTCCGCCATTTGAGTGTAGATTTTCATCAAACGTCTCTTATTGTTGTTATTTTACATCTTTTATGATAAAAAAATCTTCCTTTTCTTAATTTAAAAATATAATAAAAAATAAATATATTATTATGTAGAGAGAATAGTTAGTGAAATGATAAGATTTGTCTCTCTTCCGTGTAAGTGTAGATGGAAGAAAATACCAAATACTGTATCTAATTAAGGAAGCAAAAGAGTGAAAATTAATTTTGGTATTTTTCTCTTTCGTTTTAGTATTTTCATTTTGGATTTTAGAGAGATCACGCACACAATTCATTGCGAATTTTTGGTTCTTGGAACATGTTTATAAGATTTTTATTGGAGTTGCTTGTGGACTTTCATAACCGTTTGATTAATTTGCTGACTCCTTTAAACAGTAGGATTTATGAGTTTAGGGTTTGATATATAATTTTGGATGTAAATTTAAATTCATAATTTCTAAAAATTAATTTTTATTTTATTAAATATAAATATGATGCGACATCTTATGCGGTTGAATTTTAATATTAAAATAAGCTATGTTATAACACTGTTATAAAATTAACAGTGGAGTGAAAAAACCTGGATGTATAAAATTTAGAGAGTGAGATCTTTTAATTTTAATGTAATTGATTATATGGAAAATAAATTATAATTTCTAGAAAGTATTTTCTGGTGTTTGGATAATATTATGTAATTCATTTTCCTCTTTTCGATAATATTTAGTGAAAATATTTTATGAAATTTGTTTCATTGTATTTTTTAGATTTATTTTTGGTTGAATTATTTTTATTACTATAAAATTACTTTTATAAAATTTTGAATATATTATAATATTTTATTTTTATAAGTACATCAAATTAAAATTTAACATTATTCGTTTTTATAAATATAGATAATATGAAAAACCTATTTCAATAGTATTATAAATACATTATTTTGAATTTCTTCAAATTAAAAGCTTGACCCTATTTCAATTGTATTATAAATACATTATAGAAACATTTATTTGAAGTATTTGTCACAGACAGTCTTTAAGTCTACATTTTCTGGAAGAACAAAACAATAACATTTCTAAGGGAATGGTCCTCTAAAATAAATGGTGATTTACAAGAAAACTTAAAGCGAATCAGTATATAAAAAATTACACATGATGAATTAGAGTGACGAGATAGGTGATTTCCATCAAGGTAAAATATTACAAAGATAGAAGACATACACCATAGACCGTAACTAAAAGTTTATCGAAACCTGTTAGATTTTTCACATCTCAGAATTCAAGAAGTTGTCTTCTCTTGAAAAATATTTTTTCTCATTATTAGAAAATATTCTTTTGCTCCCTTAATTTTTATAGTGATAGTCGAAGGCAAGGAAAGTTCGTGATCTCTATTGTTGTGCTACTGTGACTAATCATCAAGTTGTTGTATCCTGGGAAACAGACGACCAAAAGATCTCAGGCACCAATGAGTGGCCGAAAATATGTCTTAAGGAAATTGTGTAGCAGCATACCTCAACTGATTCTAAATTCTAATAACAAGATCAAATACAATAAGAGTATTTTATTTCCTTTTATAATTATGTTTTATTTTAAAGTATTTAATTTCTTCTTTTTAATTTTTCTTAGGTTTCAATTTAGTCTCGGATTGTTACTTCGGTCAACAATCTTAAGACATATTCTTATCTTATACCTTTCTTGATCCGAGATAATTCAAAATTGTGGGAAAACTGAGTAAACAAATTTGTTTCGGGATTTATCCTACAGTCTTAACAAGTTTACTAGAATCTAAAATGGACAAATATGTATAACAGAAATTGTCGTGAAAGTAACTACAATTACTGATTTTGTTTTATAATTTTGAATAAGTCCGATAACAAATTTGAAAATAAACGAGAATTAATTTTTTGTTTATTGGAAACTTTGATTTCATATTTGAAATCAATTGAGATTTTAATTCTGTCGCGTAGCAGAATTATTAGATTTCTATTAATAGAAATCGTGGGAAGTAACAACTCTGTTACTGGTTTGTTTTAGAATTTTAGTTCATGACTAAATTTTGTTGATTGAAAAAATCAAAATCTAATTTGGTTTATTGTTGGAATTATTTCGCGTTAAACAAAATAATTGTTAATATTAGTGATTCACATAATTCGTGATTTGGAACGTTGGTTCCTACTCAAACTTTGAATTAAAATTCAACGATGTTGATGGTTGTAAACCATAACGAGAAACTTGTAAAATTCTATAGATAGAATTTCAAGATATGACAACATAAGATGTTTTGTTTGGTCATGTTGAATTTGATCAAATAACGAATGATTCTCTTATCATTA